CCTAAAATTTCTAATTTTCGGGTGAAAATCGGGTAAAAAACGGGTCAACCTCGGGTTTTCGGGTCAAATATGAGTTTTCGTGTCACTTTCGGGTCACTTTCGGGTCAATTTCGGGTTGCTGGGTCAACCCGAACCCGACTCGATTTTTAAAACGGGTTGATTTGTTCAACCCGAACCCGACCCGTTTCGGGTTCGAGTTGACCCGAATTCGGTTTCGGGTTGACCCGAACCTGGATTTTTCCGAGTCGGATTCGGGTCGTGTTTCGAGTCATGTCAAAAATTGACATCCCTACCTTGTTCTCTCCAAAATGTGATAAAGATTGAAATCTATAATGCTAACTAATCCTCTTGTAATTGTGATATAATAATTCCAAAAATTCTATCACAAGGGCTGGCACATCTTCGTAAGGATGAGATTTATGCTTCGTTTGGGATGGTTTTTTTATTGCTTATTAAAACAGTTCTGTAGTACAAATTTTTGTACTACAAATTAAGTTGTTTTGAGAAGCACTAAGAAAAGGTTTCGTTTGGGACAACTTTTTTTTTATTGTTTTTAAAAATAGAGTTTTAGTAAAAAAATTATTATTTTTTACTAAAACTCTGTCTTAAAAAGAAATAAAAAATTCGTTCATAAAAAGTCTTAATTTGACAATAAAGTACCTCTTTATCTTCACCATCTTAAATTTTAAACTCTATTTATCATCTTTTCTTAAATAGTCCATAATAGTACTTATTTCGCTTGGCTGACCCATGCCGTGCAGCGGCGGAACAAAGTACCGCATTCGGGGGGCAATTCCATATGTGATTACTTTGAATAAGTGTGATTACATATGTGATTACTCATATTATTTATTAAAAAATTGATTAAATACTAAGAGATATTTAAATCATTCTAATTTTAAGAATGATAAATCTCCTTTAATTTAATTCGTCAATGATAAAAATCTCGGAGATCCAGAAGCTGCTCATAATTTTCAGGTAAATATTTTAAGTTTTCATTATTTTGTGCTTACATTCTGTTTTTGAATATGAATGAACTACACGTCTAGTATAAATCTTTTGTGCTTTCCCTGTGATCTTTCTAGAAACCTATATACTACACATGCACGGATGCATGCATCCACACTCGTGTATATATAATAAATCATCATTATTGCTATTTGAGAGTTTTATTAAATCATATTTTATATTTTTATTAATTTTAAATTTTGTTAAAGCTCAAGAAGTACTCTTTGTGAAAGTTTTTTTTTATTTTAATTCTTTGTGAAAAGTATGCCTTAATTCACAACCATTTATAAACTCTGATATAAGCTATATTTTAATGCAAAATTCTTTGTCTGTTATATGAATATAGGTTGCCACCTCGAAGGTTGGTGGATAGGGAACTATCTTAATTTTTTACATTTTTTTTTAATCTTTTAAGGGAATTTATCTGAGAATAATTCTTCATATTTCACCATAATTATTGATATATCATCAAAAAATTATCTTGATCAAGCACGAATCTAGAGATATATTTAAATTTGAAACTTTTGAAATTAAATCCGGAGCCATCTAAACTCTGATTTCAGCAAACTTATAGTCAAATTGAACATTTCAAAAAGACAAACCCAATGACACCAAATTTGATCCCATCCGAGCTCAAATGGGTTCAAATCAAGAGCTCGAAGCACATTTAGAAAGTTCAAAACATAAATTGGATGACCAAATGATATTCAAATGTGACATGCTTATATTCGAATCGAGCGGCTCGACAAGACGAATCCAACGAGCCCAAGATCGTCGAATTCTGACATCATTAAGACACTCAAATGCTCGATAAATGGTCTATGATCAAGAGAATCAATATCGGTTGTCCATCAAAAACACTCCCAACATACCCTTAACATTATGTCAATTTACTAGCCATGCTACTCTTAGAAAATTATAAATAAACCCCTCATTCTTTATTAAGAGGATAGCAAGTAAGCGAAAGAAGAGAAGAGAGAGAAATTTGAGAGCTCTCTTGCCACCTGACTTCTCCTCCTCGACCACGGCCTGATCGCCGACCGTTGCTTGACTTCCGCCCGGCCACAGATCGTCGTTGGACTTCTACTCAACTACCAACCATCGTTGGACTTTCACCCAACTACAAACTGTGGCCCGACTTATGTTCGAAAACCTATCGTCACCAGATTTCTGCAAGGCTGACAGTCGTCAGACTTATGCCCGACCGTCATTATTTACACAAAGTTCAACCCACTTCTTGGACTATTATAATCTAACAATCCTCATATTTAAAGACGATCCTTATAATATGTTCAAACAATAGTGGAATCTTTTCAACTGGATGTGGCCCCATGTCTTTTTTCCTTTTTCAAGATCTTCCACGTAAAAATTCTGATGTTTTTAAATTCTTAGATTGTGTGCTGGATATCCGTGCAATGCGAGGATGAAAAATTCTCTTACTTTACAGCCGCAAATATTCTAGTCCACAACCATTATGAAAAATAACTAATTGAAAAAAGTACACTATTTTTCTCTACTGTGAATTACGTAAATTTTAGCTGCATGATATGTAGCCACAAAGCTGTAATAAAGTAATAAGCATAGCATCCCAAATGACTAATAGCATAGGCATTAATGCTATTGTCCATGGAGAGGAAAACTTTAGTTATTGTTTTGCAGGAAAAATGATAAAATCTTGTAAAGGTTTCTATTAAAAAAAAAACAAGTAGTGAAACGGATAACAGATGAAGGTTATTGTTAGGTTGCAGCAATGTAATGATGAAGGTTGCAATCATGGGAAAACAGAAAGGCCGCAGGTTAGCGCAAGGAAAATTAGTACAAATAACTATATAATAATCACAATAGGAAATATGTGATTGTGAAATTATACGAGTTCTCCAAAATTCGTCATAATTTTTCGTTGTAATTTACGTGCTTCAAAAACTCAAATACTACACCTTTTTGATAAGCACAGCAAGAAGTATGTTCTTCGATTTGACATATTAAAGTTTTTGTAATTGCTGCTAATTGTTCATCAGGTTGATTTGATCTAGCCACATATTGCGGATTTTATAATCAGAAGTTGCTACTTCATGAATAAAGAAATTATTACCTGCAGAGTCCAGATGCGTTTGGACTCCAATTAAGATTTTGTTTGAGACGACTTTCTTATTGCTTATTAAAGCAGTTTTTTAACATAAAATTTTTAATTTTTATACTAAAAAGTTGATTTAAGAAGCAATAAAAAAGCCGTCACAAACGAAGTCTAAATCAAGCCATATCATTTGTACATAGAATGGGTGTATATTATACACATTCTATGTACAAATCATATGATTTGATTTTATTGGAGTCTGAATGCGAGCTATACGTAATAATTTCTCTTATGAATGACACCTTGTTTCTAAGTTCCTTATTTGAGCATATATATATCCATGCATTGGTACAACTACAATTTTTTCGTTTTAATTAATAGAAGAAGCAGTGGATTCATTCCTTTCAGTTATATGGTAAGTGGTGTTATGCCTTTTGATTGATATGATTCTTTCTTTTCTTAAGGCTCTAGGAGAGGCTTATCAAGTTCTTAGTGATCCAACTAAGCGCGATGCTTATGACAAATATGGAAAGGATGGTCTTCCTCAGTAAATGCAGAAGCCTATGCTGGATTGTTTCCTAATGGAATTATATGAACTTACGGTTTCGTTTGGGACGGCTTTCTTACTGTTTCATAAAGCAAAATTTTAGAATTTTTATACTAAAAAGCTGCTTTAAGAAGCAGAAAGAAATTTGTCCCAAACGAAACCTATATTTATAACCATTGGTAGATAAAATCTACATTTCCATTGTTGTTTGCATAATTATCAAGTGTTGGTTCTTGAAGAAGGAAAAGCTTCCATGTGACAAACTATTAAATGGTTGTCTACATCACTAATTGGTATAGATGTTACTTGCTTTCCCATGTTCAAATTTCATAGCTTATGATTTATTTCATGAAAAAAAATATATCAATTTTTCAAAAATTGACATTATTAAAAGTTAATGGTAAATCACAATGATTTGATATACGTGTCATAAGAATCTATCCTATTTTAAGCTAAAAACAATTCTCATTAGCATCTTGCTCTAATACCACTTATAAGTCTATGCTTATATTGAGTCTATATCCACATAATCAAAGCTCCAATATATTACGATGAATCAAAATTTGATAGTTAAATCATTTAAAATAACGAAGTAAAAGCGCAAAATCACCTTCTCTATGATCCATTAGCTTTGAGTGGCTGCTTGTAATAAGTGCTTTTCGAAGATGGAGGTTTCGTTTGGGACGATTTTTTTATTGTTTTTTAAAGCAGTTTCCTAACATAAAAATTAAAATTTTTGTACTAAAAAATTGCTTTAAGAAGCAATAAAAAAGTCGTTCCAAATGAAGTTGAATTCTATGAGCCCTTCAACTTGTTAAATGAGTGATGGGGATGCCAATTATCAATGGTGGTTGCTGAAGGTATATATAATATTGAGAAAGGAGGAAAATAAATAATGGTGGAGGCTTTTAGGAATGTTATATTCATTTAATTGCCTAACCTATCAAAGCTATAAAATTAATTATAATTTTATGATTTATAATTTATTGCATAAAAATTTTTAGGCTATAAAATTAAGAATTATAAAGATTAATAGCAAGCATATTTCAAATGAATAAGAAATAACTTCAAAAGATTTCTCTAAGATAAATCACTAAAATGTACTTATAGGATGTATTCAAAATAATTCATTTTTTAGTCTAATCACCTATCATAAATTCATATTAAATAAATTCAATCCAATTATTTATTCTTTGATCCCATTAATATGTATAAAAGTTTATATTATTATTATTATTTTAAAAAATAAATATTATTAAATATATAACTTAAATTTATAATATTAAAAGAATAATATTTTTCTTTTTAAATATACCTTTCAAAATATTTTTTTTTTCTTAATTTTTAGAATAATATATACCACAAGCATAAAGCGTTTATTACAAGCTCGACATTTAAAGCAAAATGGCGATAACTCACATTAACTTCGCGCCTCACTGTCGAGCACTTGCAATTCCCTGACCTTAAAGAACTTATTTTACGAGATTCCGATCCACAGCTCATCCATTTTGAGGTATACGAATTATTCCTGTCGTATAATTGGTCCTCTTGCAAGAAACGTGCGATTTTTGCAATCTAGATCTCTTCCTAGGTTTTGCTTGTCTTCGCCGTAGATTACTGTTTCCCTTCACAATTGTCTCTGCATCAAGATATTTTCGATCATTGATTACTTCTATAAGTGAATCATTGAAGACATTTTTCGTGGTTTTGCGATCCTAGTTTCTTCTCCCTTTTCTTTGGTTTAATTTTAGGTGTAGTATTCTGAAATGTTTAGGTGATTCAGTAGTTCACGGAGGAAATTTGTTAGGTTGGATTACCGTGGCTGATATTGGGTTTTGTCTTCTCTTCTATTTGTAGATTTCGGGGCTAGTAGATACGTCTGAAAACCATGGTGAAGGAAACCCAGTATTATGATATATTGGGAGTGAAAGCTGATGCGTCTACTGCCGAGATAAAGAAGGCTTATTATCTCAAGGTGATAAGAGCTTCCTATTTGTGCTCAACTGCCCTTTATTTCCAAGAAATATGTTGCTGTTTTAACGACACATGAGAGCTAAATAACATCTTTTTATTTGTAAGGGTTGAAATTTAATCGCCATTTTGGTTGACTTCTCTTTTTGTCTTGTCTTTATATTCTTGACCTGTCAAAAATTTTTTTTGGGTCACGATAAATGGTGAAAAAACTGTCATTTTTGAGGCAAAAGGTCACCCGGCAAGTAATTTATTACTGCAAATTGCTTATGATCGTTGCTTGTAGAGGTCATAAAAGCATTTAGAAGTTTATATTTCTACCTTTTCTCAAAAAAGTCGTGCATGATTCACTTGATTTCATCACGATCATTTGGCTTGAAAAGGTTGCTCGCGACAAGAGATTTTAGAAACTCAACCAACCGATTAGGCAACAATGATGTCGTAGGTGGCGGTGGTGATGGATTTGTACTGGTTGTGTTGGAATGGAAGATGAATGTGCCATTATGTTTTATTTCTACATTTTATTTTCTTTTGGTAGTTTCAATGCCCATACAAATTTAAATTCATGCAATTTTGAGCTTATTGGCATCATCTCATCTAGACAATCATTTTAACTATAGGTTTTCAAAAATTAGAGTTTGTTTAGCTCTTTAAATAGTTTTTAGATGATTTTCATTATATTTCTAAGTGAACTTTTTGAAATTGTTTGGACTTGATTTGGATATTTTTGAATTAATGGGAACATCTCAACATGTTGTTGATTCTACTATTAGTTTGCTGAAATCAAAGGTCGAATATCTCAAAATTAATTTTTAGTTTTTGGTTTTATAATTTGAGTGTTCTTCAGTTATGGAGGTTCACTTAATAGACGAAAGATCTTTTATTGTGATTTCTTCATGTGGCAAAAGCAACCTGCCCTCATGATTGTTTTATCCTTATGAAGTAAGGGAGGAGTGGAAGTTAGGGATTTGATGGCATTTAAAGTGTTTATTCTCTCATTAGGATAGAAGATCAGGATCCAAGGAGACAAAAGGAGAAGTTTGAACAAATAAAACATCTGAGATGTCTGCTTGGAAGTTTTAAAGAGGATTCAGAGCTTTGGAATTATGTATAAAATCCATATTTATATCTATAGAAATTTGTCCATAATGTGTAGAAATTGGGCAAATTTATAAATTTCAAGATGGGGATTTTCGCTTTGTATTTGAATTTACTAAATTGTCATCTTGAATTGGATGATCATAATTTTTGTTTGCTCTCCTTTGAAAGGCTTTGTTGCTTGCCTTCATTTTATCGTCTCCAAATGTGTGCATGTTTGTAACACACTCCCTTGGCTTTGCTCTCGTGAGCGGCTTTGTCACTTGCCTTCTCTATCTTGCTACCATGCTTGCATGTCTGGGGCCTTTGGCTTGCGCGTCTAGCCTGGGCTTTCCAGCAGTAATGCTCCCTTCTGATGGCTATTGTCGAGTCATCTAAGTTTGCAAACCATCTTTCATTTTCACTCATCGATCATTGCTCTCTCTTGGGGACAATGTTCACTTTTCTTAGTTCCTGATTTGCTCCACTGGTCCTAACCTCTTTTTTGTGCTCCTCTTGGATTTCTCTTTCATTGCAATCATCAGTGCCCCTTTTCCGGTTGATCTGATAATGTCAAAAGCTCCTTTGAGTGTTTTTACACCCTTCGTTGTTCTTTTGCAAATTTGGTGGATGGTTTGGCAGGTTTCACTTCTGTCATTTTTCCTTAATTCCCTTTATTTTTCATTAAGGCTTATGTTTACCTTTAAATAGTTTAGGTTGGAGATATCTTCCTTGCAAGTGTGATATAATAATTCCAAAAATTCCATCACAAGGGCTGGCCACATCTTCTTCATAAAGAGATTTAATTTGACAACCAAGTACCTCTTTATCTTCATCTCTTAAAATTTAAACTCTACTCATCATCTTTTCTTAAATAGTCAATAAGAATACTTCTTTCACTTGGCTGACCCATGCCTGGTGGATTCTAGCAGTGATTAAAAGTGGGTGGAGTTGATTGCTTACTTCCAAGCAACATAGCTGTAATGCAAATGTGGTAATTTATCCCCATTTGTGTGACATAATGACCTTTGTATTTGAAGGGTCCTACTATCTTTTTAGCTGTTGTGTAGTTCGGTGCCCTGCTCCGTTGTACGCTTGTTTGATGGTTAGGTAGTGGGGCAGGTAGAGACCATGATATATTTGCACTGAAGGTTGTTTGACCATTAACCACTCCATTACATCCTGCCAAGCTACTCTAAATCAGGGAAGGAGATGGCTTTCTCCTGCTTTTCCCCTTACACAAGCCCCTCATGTTTTCAAAAACATGGATATCAAAGCGGAGGATTTAAATCATCATCCAAAATGCACTAACTATCAAAATAGTTGCACCTAACTGCAACATGCCCGATGTTACATCTTCACGCTTGGCTTTGTTCAAGCCCACCTTAATTTTGAGCATCTATCCCAAAGGTTTTTTCTATAAGTATCTTATCATCGTCCAAATGGTTCAATCTTTTCCTCCCATGGTATTAATATATTTCACAATCACAACTTTGTTCTTTGATATATGGATGCATTCTTCTGTTGAAAATTTGTGCATTTCTCTCTATTTTCAATGATTACTTTATTTTTCTATTTAGATAAATAATGATGCATACTGCCAGTAAAAATATTTATATTGCCTGCATCTTTCCCTTTAAATTGATTGCAGATGAGTCTCCGAGAAATCTGCTAGCTTGGAGTTCCCTGAATTTTTTTCTAATTTGTTAGGGCCCTTTTATCTGCCCCGATAAATCTCCTTTTATTTAATTCGTTAATGATTTGTTAGGCAAGGGTGGTGCATCCCGATAAAAATCCTGGAGATCCAAAAGCTGCTCATAATTTTCAGGTAAATATGTGAAGTTTTCATTATTTTATAGCTTACATTGTGTTTTTGAATATGAATGAGCTGCACGTTAAGTAAAAATCTTTTAAGCTACCCATGATGCTTTCCCTGTGATCTTTCTAAAACCTATACTAATGCAGGACATATATGAAATTATGATTTAGATAAGGATTTTGCACGCTTAATGCTTAAGAACAAATTAATTAAATCTTGATTGTGATTCAAACAATGAATTAAAATACAAAGAGTGGTAAACACTAGCTTAGACCAAGCTACTTGCAAAAAGTAAAAGCCACAAAACAACCAATTACTCTTAACATTGCATACAAGATAGGTTTCAACAAGAAATCCCTAATTTAACAATATGAGCAGTGCTATGAAAGATCTCTCACACAATTCTACTAAACACTAAGCTTTAGCAGAAGGAATTAACATAACTTTTCATGAATCAATTAGAGCTACAATTGAAAGCAACTAGAAGGATATAGGATTTGGAGGAAGTGTCTCACCTTTGTCCTGGTTTAGAAGAAAATTACCGATGGATGGGACAGTGGACAGCGAGCATTTAGAATCAGGAATCCGTAGACAGCAACCAAGAGCCTTCTCGAACCAAGAACAGCCGGTAAGAAGCACTGAATCTCTGGACAGCCCCTGATCTTCACTGGACAGAAACTAAGAGGTCTCCTTGGACAGTTCTCTTGCTGATTTTGATATTTCTGGATAGATGACAGCAACCAGGGCTGCTCCCATCAGCTGGACAGCAAAGTGGATTGCAGGAAAATCTGTGACAGCCTTTGAGGAATTTCTGGACAGCAATAGAGCAGGTTTTGGAGGCTAGGGTTTGATGTGGGTGGTGGGTAGAGAGGGTGGAGAGGGGAAGGGAGGGAGTTAGGGAATTAATTCCTTTTATTGGAACCCAAGATTGGAAAGAAAATAAATGGGGAAGATGGCATTGGGGG